TATTGGAATTTAGAAAGATGTTTATATATTGTTTTATTGAAATTAAATCGCACAGTCCTTTGCGGGTTCTCAATTAATTTTAAAGTGCCATACGATAGATCTTTTGGGTCTGTATTTGAAACTAACCCTTTGAAATTATTCATAAACCAATATGTGATTATATCAAAATCTGGAATAAATCCTATTAAGAACATCTTATGATACAAATATGAATCGTCTCTGAATTATCTACGTGGATATTGAAAATGTAAAGATATATATAGAGATCAGTTTATACTGCGGTTTACGTACACAAAGCACGGAATTCAATGGGGCTTTGATTGAACTATCGATTTAGTGTACAGTTTGTGCAAATATTAATTATATGTTATCACACAATTTCACGCATCTTGTTCTTAAGACCTTAAAGTGATTGCATTATGTTGTAGCAAAGTTTTAAATATCTTATCTTTTATCAATTAGTTGTAATATGTAGTATAAATTGTTAACAAGATTTCATTTCATATGATATTAATTCCGACGACTGATTCTGTTATAAGCCAATTTAATTAGACTATTCGTCTGAACCTGAGGTAATAATAGTATTAATTCTAATTGTCTGCAATTTAGTACGACTCAAATGTCTCAATTATTTGAAATTGAGAACATTTCATTAAAACATCCCTATGTTGGTGTGCCGCTTAGTCCGCAAAGGTATGTTAAATGTTTACAGTCATGACAAATTATAATATAATTCTATTAAAATGTTCCATCGGTAGAATACATATCTATAGTACACGACTCACAAACAGCCTTTGAACTTAAAATTAGTATTAAATTCCATGACATATTGGATTCAAAAATATTTAAAGAATTCCTTTCAACAAAAACCTTTGACAATTTCATTCACAAATATCTTTGTTTTTGGTGTCAATCAAGCTTTTCAAACATACAAATGCATTTTCCGCTTTGGTTAATAAAATGTTCGAGGGTTTTAATTTTTCATCTGTAATGAACTCTGTTTACTTAAAGTGGAGGTCGATTTTCGCTCAACATTCAAATGAAAGTTTTAATTTACAAACTTCCTGAAGAATTCTATTTGTAACTTCCTGACATGTCATTTTATTATTAGACAAAGTTACATTTTTCATTAAAAATTATATCCGTACTACAGTAACATTCATATTACTCCATTCAAAATAGATAACAATAAAGCCAAATTGATGAAATCAGTTTAACGTTGACAAAGGTTTTATCTCACCCGAATATATTAGAATGCTACCGTGTGCATATGTACATATATGAAAGTGAGTTTTATTTGATGTAATTATCACAAACTCCTAAGGGTTCCAGCAATTTCATTTGAATCTCATCAAAGTGTGGGCACACTTTGATATCCTTTGTGCTGACTGACGCGCGCCGGTGCAATATGCCGATCATAACTTTACCAAATACACGAATAGCGCACTTAATATACTAAGCTCCGCAGCGGTTAATTATAAGATGTCATCCCTTTAAACATATGACGTTTATAATGTAGTTAGAAATGATAATTTGATTAGATATGATTTATCTACAAATACGAATTAGAAAAGTATGTGTACCTATTAAAAATTAAATGAGTTTAAGTAACAAAAATTTATTAAAAAATTATAATGCTAGAAAGGTTCCATTTAGACATATATATAAAATTTTATTTTCAAATAAGTATCTTCTCATGAATATAAAAAAAAACTCTAAGTAAACTAACTATTTCTTGAGCTCTCATGAACTCCAGTAATATTCATCTGACATAATGACATAACTTTAATAAAAGTTTATGAACGTATTGACTTTCCACTTCACAGTTTTATACCCTTACCACAAGTTTTCGTCGTCAAAATATTTACAGACAGTTTTAATTTTATTATTAATTAAACATCACATATGACATTAACTTAGATACATACACGAACTAAGTATGTAACCGTTTGCTTTAGGTTCGGCGATACAGACACTTAGTAAGGGCAGTCTGCTCAGTAAAGTAGTTATCCGAATACGAAGTTTAAAATCAGCCTCCGCTCGTCTAGATTTCTTTGTAATCCCTAGTGCTCATTGTCGGATGGAAAGTTTCTTCGAATTGAAATTCCCTGTTATAATCATAATGACTTCTCCGATAAACTAATTTGTTCCTGACTCTCGATTTACATTCCACACTTTATATTTACGGGATAAGTTTTAAAAATAACATTTGTATGTAACTTATTTAAAACAAAGGCAATTAATTTGTTTATGAGATTTTATATTCTGTAACTAGAGTGACTACAGGTTTCATTATAATAAAGTAATGACACGAATATTGATATTAGATTAGAATGGCAATCTACCAAAAATTCCTCCATTCTCCCTAAATATTAGTCGGGATGGGCGAGCTTGATTTATAGGATTTTGGAATATGCAAGTCTATGCGAGCTACTGATGCACGCCGAAATACATAGTTTTATCGACGAAATATTCAACAGACGTTATTAAATTTAACGCACCCTTTGGTGGTGTAAATAGAGATGGCAATTTGAATGCTGGCGGGATATTAAATTAAGCGACATGCATTTTGTTAGATTGTTTTATGAATAAAAAATATTTTGTAGTTATAAAAGTTGGAAGAAGATGAACTTCTGTAGTTGATACTCATACAAGTATGTGGATAATGAGATTTCTATACAATTTTTAATGAGTTTTATTAAGTTAAGTTTTTGTTATACGACGCTGCATTCGACGATCCTTAATAATGTAGTTTAGGAAGGGATTTGAGAGTTAATACAGAGTTGAGTTTACTAACGAACATGAGTCATTTAATATTATAGGTTGCTTATATAATTTTTTTATATTTAAATAAAGCAATATTATTCTACATAGTATTATAATTCGGATTTCTTAGGATTCATTATTTGAAAAGTACGTATTATTATAATCGAAGTATTGTTACTTAATTCTACCAATACAAATATTATGAACAGTAAACATAAATTGTACTAAGTATATATTAAAAATGAGACTTTGATGTAAAAATCTTTAAAATTATCATCTTCACGTTCAATTGTTTATATCAATTGTAAAGAGCTAAGGTAAATCCGCAAGCTTAATGAGATATATTGGATTCGGTTCATCGGAGTTCTGAATCAATGGCCATTGTAAAATCGCTCCGCTTCTTACAGAGTCTAGGCCTTTAGCTAGAAAGCCACCATTGTAAACATGGTATCAATTTCATAGAAAGCGTCATAGTCTAGAGTTAGTAACTATAAAGATGCTTTAGTTAACCCAAAGTTGTTACAAACTTTGACATTCTGAATAGTTTTATTAAACAAATTTATCCCCTGTTACAATGTATGATCTTCGTTATCTATGCAAAGCGGACGATAATGGTGTTCGTTTTATATAATTAAGTAATAGTGTTTCGATTTGTTAATTTCATTTTCCTCGCTTCGCTGTTAGTCCTCGCACATGTATTGTCAGTGATGCATCAAAGGGGATGAGGGATGTGGAGGTTTTAAGCCGTCCCAGAAATTAATGTGGATTTTATTACTTCCCCGCATCATTTTATTTGATAAATGTTACAATATTTTTCAAAAGTTTCAATCAGTTGTGGCATTCGTATTTTTTTAGATAACTATTTATATTTCGAAATTAAGTTTTGTTATGAGCTTAATGCAATATTTAAACCAATATCTACTAGTTTTATTTTTTAATAATATTAGTAACGTACAATAACGTAATTATTATGATACTCAAATATAGAAGTATAGTTTAAAGTCATTAAAAATATGTTCTTAAATCGATATATCTGCTTTAATAATCTTATACAAGGTGTTACCTTATTTTATATGCTATATTAATCCTGTGTGCTCTTCGTAATATGATTTAAATTACTAATAATTTCCAGACGATAGACTAAGCTGTGTTTGCAGGCTGAAAATCATAGGTAATCGGATCAGCATCGCTTATTTTAATTATTACTAACAGCTATAGCGAACGAATATTTACCTTAAATTTTAGGATGCTATTTATAGAACTATATCAGTTTTAAAAAATACTTCAAATAAAACACGAATCCTTATTTTTTCCTCGTTATTATTGTTATATATGAATATTAATATTGTTAATATATTATTTAAACTGCTACAAAATAGTTTTAGATACCAGGAAAATTATAAAACTCTTCTTAAAATAGACAAGGTCTCTGGACGTTTAAAAAAAAACATTATTACCAGGAAAAGACGTATTTCAGAAAATCCTATTCACTCATAATTTGCAATTAAGGACTTCACTTTAAATGCACAAGGTACAGACTTCTTTCCTTATTAAAAACTAATCCACAGCATGCAATACTTTTTGATATTTCAGTGAAATTGGATAAAAACGTTACTAAAGACGTCGTTGAAAGATTCTTGAAACTTTGTAATTTACATTTTAAAATTTTAAATTTAATCTAATTGAATAAATCTAGGATGTTATAAGGTTGACGATAAAAGACTTGAAACAAGGCTCTAAATGTAAAATAATCTCTTGTACTTTTAACTTATATTAGAAATTAATAAAAAAAAAAATTGTTATTATACGCATTTAGAATTAGAATAAAAATTATGAAATCTAAGCAATAAAATTTTAAGACATATAAATAAATTTAAATTAAATATATATAATTAAATAAATGTTTAAAAGAAATATAAGTTTCGCCACGGTTCTTTCAGAGTTTCTATGTTCAGTTGAATTTAAGAGGTTTCAGTTGTGAAAATTTCACAATTTAAAAAAACTGTAAATGGCTTATGTGATTTTATATTCTGTTACAATTCCTGGAACCGAATGCTTTGTAGCGGGTGGGGTGCAGGCGTGGTCTGGTTCAGGTCGCGGCAGGGTATAAGAAGCGCTAACAACACTGCAAGAGCACTGATCACACGGACGCCGGTACGAGCGGTAGACTCCAGAGCTTACATTAATATTAACAAATACCTATTAGGTATTAAAGTTTAAATATTTTTTACAATATGTTCTACGTGACGAGAATAGCGACCCGTTACGAGGAGGTCGGCGAAGACGAGGTGAGTTTCTAAACTTTCGGGGAATTTTTAAGAAGTTAGTTTTCGAAGTTCGGTACGGAAATATTTCGGGAGAAATTATTCTCGTTATTTTTTTTTAAATTAAAATGCAGCTTGCATAATAGTGATTCTAATAATATTTTTAATATTGTAAAGAAGAGTTGCGATTTTTGTGTTATAATTATTTCTTAACTTTTCAAAAATCTGTTTTTTTTTGCAAAATATGCGAATTTATTTCTTAATTATATTGGAATATGTTTTGCGATTTCAACATACGTACTTCATGACTTGTCCTGGTTCAGGATAAATCTTTTCTACTTTGTGTAAATTTGAACTCCGCGCGCGTCTTAGTTTCATTTAAACTTGTATTTTAATGTACATTTTATTGCTTTATATTGTGTATTCTAATGAAAAATAGATTTAATATTGAACAATAGTGTTATATCCGGTGAGTTAATTCACTAAAGATATTTTTAAATACTTGTTCTCATATATTTGAGATCTTTTTAAAAAATATATGGTAAAATGTTTTTTAATAGGCATGATAAGAAAAGATATTTTTGAGAATATATTTTCTCTTACGATCTCATGTACAAAAATATTGTAGTATAATAAAAAACGTCAACGAAGACAGCGGTAAAATTTTTACAATTTTTTTTCATTCTGAAGTCAAAATCCAGACCCAAGAACTCCTTAAATATTGCAATAATCAGACTTTCTAAATATTTAAGTTTCTTTTATTGAAATAATTATCAGTACAAATTAAATACTTTACTGGTTTTAATATAAACGAAAATATTATTACCAATTAAAAAAATAACCGAAAATGTTATATTTTTATTTAAAATCTGAAAATATAAATAATAAAGTTGAAAAGATAATAATAATGAGCCACAATTTAGCATTGTACTAGTTTAAGAGAGAAAAATTATGCTCATATGATTATTTTTAGAGTAGAATCAAATAGGCATAACTGAATTAGAGTTAGCTGAGATTACTCGGAACGCTTTAGTCCTCAAGATATATGCGGTAGCGGTATTCAGCATAGCGTTTGCAATTATTAGTATTTCATGATCTATCAAAAAGAAAAGGGCCAAAACTTTAATGACCCTTTCTCCTTCCTCATGCGCACACCAAATAAGTGTCTTCAAGATTAGAGTGAATAGGTTTTTACTTAACAATGTGCTCATCTCCCGCGACTTCATTTCCACCATCCAAAAGACTAAATAACAGTTAATCATTATAAAGTTAAAAATTATAAAATATATAATAGTAATAAAAGAACAAAGGTAATTTAAAGAATTAAAAAATCTGTTAAAAGCTCCGTTTCAAAATGGTTTATCAATAAGTTTACAAGTTTGCTCATTATGATATTCCGATTTTTAAACAGATAAAATGTTTTATTCATTAAAGTACACACAAAAGCCTCATAATTAACGAAAAATATCAACTTGATCATAATTTAATTAATTACTTGCATCACCAACGCGTCTCTTCCCAATTTATAATAACTGTTTCATAAAACATTTTAAAGTTCAAAAATTATGAGAACGCCACGAGTACTCTCGCGACCAAAATACATAATTATATCATTATTAAAAATTAATGTAAAATGGAATCGAAGGTTCCGATTCACTTTAATATTGTGAATCTTTGTTCAAGCAAAACAAAAACCTTAAGGATGCAATAATTAAAAAATACATTTTTCTATATTTCTTTTGTTTCTAATTCTATTTATGTAACGCGTAGGTGGACGTTGCATCCGTCGGGCAAATGGCATAATGGCAAGCTAAATGCACCCACTAGACATTACTAAGAAATTTCTTCATTGTTAATTATTATTAAAAGAATATATATATGTTTTTATTTCTTATAAATCAGATCTAAAGAGACAAACCTATCGAACCGTATTGGAGAGTTCATATACGTTATGTGACGATAATCAAATCCCTTTTGGGATTGCGAGTTTTAAATCCCATGTATGCGTTGCAGTACAAACCTAACAAATGTTTGCGTACATTATGGTATAAAAATATATATTATCATATTAATGAGCTTACATAGCGATGATTCATATAAATTGTGTAAAATTTTCATTTAAATACACGATATATTATAAATTGATGTGTTCTATAAAAAAAATCTACTTATACTACAAATATATTTTTGTATTTTTTATTTCTCAACTTAATCTTGGACACATCAAATATAGCGTGATTTCATTTTATTTTCGATGATTTTTTTGTACAAAACATAATTTTATTTTAATTAGTAACATAAAAAAAATATGTTCGTCAAATTTGTTCATAATGGTTTGACTACACTCTATGAACATGTATGTGATTCTTTAATTAAAAAGATATGATAAATAAGAAGTAACATTTTTTAACTGGTCGTAACAAGTCACTGAAACATTCGATTCATTATATATAAAACATTCCCTATTAACTTAACACTACACATAGATTGTTAATGGAATTAATTAAAATCGAGCTTTTTACCTTTTGCTAACAACATTATCGGAGTGGATTCTTCAGCTAATGGATATTTGTTGTCGCTAAATATAGAGTAAAAGCAAGCTTCCAAGAATCTTCCAAGAAGATTATGTTAATTTACGAATGTTTATTTTAACAAATACTACGAATACGACTTCTATATGCTATTAGAGAGTTAAAAGTATAAAATGTATTGATGATTGATTATATTTTAATACAGTTGGGGAATCCGATCGTGATGCCGGAGTTTGTGGCAGCAGCTCGAACTCCGCTCGATAGCCACGACATACCGATAGCCACGACCGAATTTATCCAACCAAGAATGACGCGTCCCAATGCTTTAGAACAAGAAATACTACCAGCAACTGCCGCTCTGGGGATTACTGCGGAGACACAATTCAATACGTCAAATGGCGAACCGCAACCAAGTACGTCAGGATACCAACCTCAACATGGATCTAGGAACCGGGACAGACGAGAGAGCAGCTCTGGCATTGCACCACGAGCGGAACCGGAGGACACTGATAGTGATGAATTCTTTGAAGCGGTAAGTATTCGTAATGTTAATAGTAAACTTCAATAAAATCGATGTTTTTTGTAGGTGTACGAGGGGAAGTCAATAAGTTCGCGGAATGAGCGGGAAGGGGGTTGAAATTAAACACTAAACTATTTTTCCTTTTCAATATATACTCCCTTAACCTTAATACATTTTTCGTATCTCTATAAGATAATAAATTATTATTAAAACCATCGAAAAAAAATGATTTATCTTGGCTATCAAAATACGCCGAAATTGCGGACTTGACTTCTTCTTCGTCGCCAAATTTTTTCCACGCAGCTCTATTTTCATTTTTCGAAACAAATAATAGTCGCTGGAAACTAAGTTTGGACTGTAAGGCGGGTGGTTTAATTTTTCGAATCGGCATCGGTTAATGGCAGCCGTCGCAACATGGCACGTGTGGACGGGTTGTTTTGCAAAAGGAGCACATCTTTTGGCAGCTTTCCTTTTCTTTTTTTCCTTGACAGCTTCTTTCAATCTATCTAATAAAGAAAAGTAGTAATGTCCTATTATAGTCACACCACGATCTTTATAATCGATTAGTAAATACCCTCTGTATCCCAAAATACAGTCTAAATGATCTTTCCGGCCGATTGTGACACTTTCAACTTCTTTGGAGGAGGTGTGCCTTTTTTATGCCACTGCGTCGATTCGTGCTTCGATTCAGGTTCATAGTGGTGAACCCAGGTTTCATCACTAGTAACAATCCGGTCCATAACTTCTTCCTTTTACTCTCCACAGAGCTCCGAAAACTCGACACGCTCGCTTTTTTGCAGTGGCGTGAGCATTCTTGGAACCCATTTTACACTGACTTTAGTCATCCCAAGATGATGATGTAGAATATTTAAAATGATTGTTTCGGATACTCCAACCATTGCTGCAAGCTGTTTCTTCTTCAACCGGGCATCTTCCGATATAAGTTTTTCTACTTTTGCGACGATCGACGACGTTGGCCGGAGCGGTGGTCATCTTCAATGGACTCTCTTCCTTGTTTGAAAAGTACATGCCACTTGTAAAACATGGTTTTACAAGGGACAGAGCCCGCGTAAACTGCTAACCGTATTCGAAAAACCGTCTGAGCAGATTTTCCTTGCTTGGTGAGGAACTTAATAACGGCGCGGTGTTCAATTTTCTCCATACTCGCTGACTTCTTCCCGATTCACTCGTTTGCAGGTCGATAACTCAAAAGTTAATGACCCGATTAGTTCAAACTTGGTATATATACTTTTAATGAGGTGCCGAATAAGTCACTACCTGGACGAGTAAACCTACCCCCTCTATCCCCACCATTCCGCGAATATATTGACCTCCACTCGTATAATAAAATTAGGATATCAATTAAATAATACATTAAATTAATAGCTAATAAAGAAACTCTGCAAGTTTTGGGACATAGGAAATCGTGTTAGGCCGAAAGTTTCTTTGTCCGTGCCATAATTCTATTTAGTGTAATGGACCTTGCTAGTAGATCTATTTAAAACCTATACGGTAAATTATCTACTTATAAACCATTTCGTTGTTTACTTCCTTAAATTATAACTTATAAAAGCATTGTATTCAAGTAATCTGAATCCGCCGAGGCACCTGAATCTAACTCTTTATGAAATAAAAATATTATCAACTGTAAATTATTCAAAATACCGGCAGAAAACTCACAGCAAACCCGGGAAATATGTGGTTCACTTTACACAAAATTTAATCTAAACTTTATACCTCCGTGATAAAATAGAAATTCAATAACTTCCTGAAGCTTCAAATATTATATTAGCAAACTGTTAGTTTTCTATTACAATATTTTGTTTGAATAATTTTCGATAACATTTTGAACGAAACATGCACTGGTTGAACTTAATTTAGGGAACTAGCAGCGGGGCACTGCTAAATAAACAGTTTTGGTCAAAGGTTGATTTGATCACTCGGCTATGATGTTTACACGAATTTTATTAGCAATAGCAGTTTGAAGCGTTTTTGATGTAATCCGCTTCTGGGCTTTTTCATAACGGAATGCATGTATGTAAACAAAATCTGTCAGATATGAAGTTGTATATAACTTTAACATTCATATCTTTGTATATATAATTCTTCTGTGTGTATGTCACTGAACTTCTCTCAAACGACTGGACGGATGTTGATGAAATTTTTTGTGTGTGTTCAAGGGGATCTGGGAATGGTTCAGATTTACAATTTTGTCCGCTGGACAATGTTTTTTTTATTAATTTTTAATTTATTAGTAGTCCTTGATACAAACTTTTTTTTTTGACATTAGATTTGACAACTAACTAATATGTTAATCATTCTGTCGCACTTCAAAACACGGAGATTTATAGCTTTAATAGGTAAACTCCAAAAATATAAATAAAAAACGTAACACATATTTCTTGATTATAGGGCGATACGAAGTTCGTCGGGTCTTCTAGTAAACTATAAATCATATTCTAATATAATTTAATGAATAGTGGCGATTTGTTTTGGTGTAAACCTTAGATTTAAGTACATTCATACTGTATATACATGTGTATATATGTACATTAAGAAATATATATTTCTTCCTCATTTTAAACACTAAGTGTAAACCGATTCTAAAATACACACTTGAAATAGGTATAAAAAATATATTATATCTGAGATAACTCCACATCACTTAAGGGTGGTTTTGAAAGTCATTGAAATGTTAGTTATACTTCAATAATATATATTTTTTTATTTAATAGTCTTCCTCAAACTGATCATTGCAATGAAAACATTTATGGATATATCTTTGTTTTTTTGTAGCAAGTAACAAGAAACTTCTTACAAACTTATTTTTAAAAGAACAAATTTTGTATTTAATCACATATTACAGTAAATTTTCTTCATGAGCACCGTAGTCTTTGAAAGTTCTGTACTAAGTTTTAATTGTAATATCTACATTCCACATATACATATGTAAAATATGTATAACCATATATTTTTGCATGAATCTGTCGCTCTTAACTAATGCATCTCGTCATTTTATCTTCGTAAAAATATATCCCATAGGATTATTCTATTTGTAAATATATACAAGCCATGTTGCTTACTTACTTACAGTGCTGTGAACTTTAAGTCCAATTCCGTGCGAAATAAAAAAATAATAATTTACTCAAATAATTATTTAATAAAATTGTATTCATTCGCCTTAAAAGGTTATTCGTAAAGCCGGGGGTCGGTGCTGTTAAAATAATAAAAACAGACAATACATTTCATTAAGTTAATCGCTACAGAGGATTATAATCATCCAATTTATGGAAGTTACATTTCATTGCCATAATTTTGTTATTAACTTTAAAATTCCTGTACCTGTAATCTCAATTAAATAAAACTATATAAAAAACACTTTAGCTACAGCTCAGCTTTATGAAATCACTTTTCAGCGCGACTATTTATAGAAGACTATATTTGTAGGATGAACTATACTACAAAATATCGAATACGTTCGTTTTATGACCATACAATGAAGTAGAACCCAGTACTTACAAATATAAGAGGATCTCAAATATACATAATAATGTATAATACGTACATGCATATTTGATTTGTATTTCATTGCAGGAAGATCATGATTCCTCACCGCCAAACACTTCGCCAATAGTTCCCTGCAACCCTTCAACAGCGTAAGTACTTATAATACCGTAGATCCAAAAACATACTTATAACTTAGTAGTAGTTTGTGTATACGAATGATATACAAGTTCCACTTTAACTGCTAATAGGATTATTATACATATTATAATAAAACTCAGATAAAACTTACAGGAATATAGTATGAAAAAATATTGATAATAATATATGCGTACAACGTCTTTCTGTAAATTATATGCATTTTATTTGTGGCATTTTATATGATCAGTTAAAGTTCTTATCAATTACGTATGTGCATTTACAATGACTAATGTCTAATGGATGTCACCCTCTAAAAGGTTGTACGAATAATCCTACAATTCTAAATACGAATGAATTAATGCTTTTTGTTCTGAAAATTTCCTTCTTAACGTTTAAAAAACTCCAACTTATGAATTATTCAATAAAAAACTGTCAAATATAAACAATGTAATAATAAACTTCGATATTTTCTTGTATACATTAAGTTCAGAATTATGAATGAGTCTGATTTTTTCCTACAGCAAACTCCCTAAAGACTAAGTTCATCAGACAAAAGTCTGGCTTTGTATGATATAATCCGCTTTAAGGATTAAAGGAGGTAATTTAATGGAGACGCCACTTCCATACACGAACATTTTACAAAAAGTTCTTTCATGTAATAATCCTAGCTTATATATAACATTTAACCATTTCCCATTCTATTCAGCTCATTAACAATAGTTGAAAGTTATAACGTAGCTGCAAAACTAAAGTTTACAGTGAAATTTTAAAGTTATATAATTCGTATTTAGGAAATTTAAACGAACGACTTCCAACGAGCTGGTTATTTGTTACTCTCTTATTTATTGCATACATTTTATGAATTCGTATTGTATAGTATTTGAATACGTTATAATTTTAATATAGAATATCAACTGAGTTGACACTCTACTCGGCGCTGGGAGACTGTGAACGAGCTCTACAGCTGTTCTTCAACAATAATCTTGACGGAGCCATATCTATTATGACCCCGTGGTAAGTAAAAGACGCAGAGTAAGATTATAAAAACACCATCGGTTTGTGAAACGCATAAAATTTGCAATATTACATTTTATCTGAACATCTGAACTTACGATCTATTTTAGGATACAAATACAAAGGAGCTGAATGATACTATGTTAATGAGATTCAAATATAATCAGACAATAGGACCAAAACTTTATTTATTTCTTAACAGGAAAGACGTATCTCTATACCACGCACACGGTGCTGCTATTTTCGAGTTCATACCGGCGATGCTAACCCTAGATCCGGTTCAAATACAAAAAGCAAACGACGCTTTGAGACATACTTTCGAACTGTGCTCACAACATCGCCGGAACTACAACTTTGTTCAGTCCATTGGAGCCATCATTAGGAGGGTAATCTTATTTAGTTTCTGGACCCCACTTTATTGATTTACCGTTTGACTTCATCAGTTACTTGAACATTAAATTTAGTCACCTTGAATGTGAAAGATCAAATATTCTAAAATAAGATATTTTCGTCGCTTTAAATAAAGACGATGTTTAATGATAGTGCTATTATTAATTATCATTAAAGCGGTTTAAAGTATGAATCAATGAACGTAACTAAATTGATAAAACAATTTTCTTTACTGTTTTTAATTAAAAAGCATACACGGTGGTGGTCTACTCATAATTTAATATCGAAATCTTATCATTAGCCGAATTACGCGACTTATTCTGAGGAAGAGGCACACGCTGAACTCATTCACGCTGAGGCAGTGATGCTGCAGGCGTGTCTGGGAGCTCTCGAGGGTGAAGATGTAGCGGGCTTAGTGAAGGCCTCCTTCCGAATTAAATCGTCCTTTAACAGCTACAAGTACGTCATAACATATACTCAAAAATAAATTACCCCTTACCATGATCATATCAAGATAAATATCAACACAACTCTACCCAATTTTAAAATTAAGCACGTAATTATATTTTAACAATTTGTAAATCGAAGTTACCGAAGCCAACTAATTTCGTTAATGGACGGAACGTCAAATTAAAATAATTCAATATCAGCTATCAACTGAAGCTAGTTTTATCTTTATTATACGAGAATTTCAAATTGATTATTATTGTTACTTGGAAAAAAGAATTACTGGCTTCGAAATCCTCAAAGCAATACTGTATACGACCTTATGTATAATAACTTAATTGTATATAATTGATGTCCACTTCGTGTTCTGTATTAATCAATAGCTATCAATTTTCATTTCTACCTTCAATAATATGTATACGAGCATTCCCAATGACACTCAATTCGATTAGGAAATTATGGATTAATTGACGCAATTATATTATATTGGATAAAGCATACTTGTGAGTTAAGATTTGGTTTTCTGTGTATGTTAGGCAATGCGCTAAGATATTGTCGCGGAAGGACTGGGAGAGTAATGAGTGTAAGGCTCACTTTGAAAGCGGCGTGAGGCTTGGCCTGGCGACTTTTGATGTCATGATATCACTACTACCTCCCCGCCTGATAACGCTCTTGGAGTTTATAGGATTCAGCGCTAATAAGGTATCTTAATGTAACACGTACTTCATTTAAAATTTCATTACCATTATCTATTATTGGTCTGTTGCTAGAAATAAAACATGTCCATATTTAGAAGGTTCACTTGTAAGAATGTGACTAAATTAAAATTAAATAAAATGTTCTTTAATGTTATTACATATATTTTATGGCCAACTATAATCTGTTAACAAATTAAATGGCGACAACTCAATATTCGTGAAAGCCCGATGCGGATTGGTTTTATATTGAAATCAAATCTAGATAGACAGACAGATTAATATTCGGAATCTATCAAATGAAATGAACGAGTGAAACAATTTTTAAAGTTTTTCGCTTTAATCCGCGTTTCGTTATTGATGAAACTTATAATGAAAAAAACCGTTGCTGATTCATTTACAATCGGTTACATTTACGAAGAGATAAAATATAATTTAATATTTCATTTTATGTTTGTTAAGATTAAATAAACTTATATGAGAGTTGAATCGTCCATTGTATTTGATAGTGCCGGATTTATTTACGTGACTTATAACTTAACAATAAATGCGCTTTGCTGCAAGACTTCAATAAGGTTTCCTTTGTTAGGAAAAAGGCATAGAAGATCTGAAGACGGAGGCCAAATCCCCAGGATTACGGTCCGTGCTATGTTCACTGACTCTCTTGATCTATTATCTAGTTATTGGACACTTTGCAGCTATTGTACCGGATTATTTTGCTACGGAACAAATGATTTCTAGAGGATTGGCGGTGAGTTGAAAATAAAGCTTTTTATTTTAGTTCATAAATGTCATACTGTGGTATAAATTTATCACAATTTCTATTAGGATTAAAAAAACTAATTCTATATTTAAAAATAAACAGTATTTGTATCATTTAGAAGTATTAAATGTTTTTTGTTTATAAAAATTTTTTGTTTACAACAAAGCATCCATGTTATGCATCATGAATTCTCTAATGATTGATACACAGTCACAATACTTATTACACATTAAAGTTCACACAATCCTTTTGTAATAGACATATTGTTCGTTTTCTCTGCGTATAGTTTTTTTTAACATAAATTTCGTGTTGAAATATAACACATTACTCGTGTGATTAATTCAATAAGAAAACGGAATATGAGACTTGTCTTTTAAAATTTATAAAACAGAATTAAAAGATTTTGCTTCTTTTTATTTTTCTTTCATAGATTTCGCATTCAATCCGGACTTGTTCCGACTTATCTGATTGTTTTGTGATGTGTACTTCGTCATGATATTTCTTAGCTTTTAAACAGAATTTACTAGAGAATATTTTTATTTTTTGTTCTAAAGACCGTTTAGTTTCGAGAATTAAATGTTTTGCTATAAGCATTTTTTATTATATTTTTTTTATGTTTAAAACAGGTTCCGTTTTGTTCTATAAAGAATAAAACACTTATTAACATTTGATTACTCTTTGGATAATTTCGGACGAGTTAATTATATACGATAATTAAATGAAATTTGTATGTAAAATTGTTTGTAAACTTAGTGATGGGAAATAGAAGTTGAAATTTATCGAGGTATCGAATTTGACCACAAACGTTAACAATCGACTGTAGGGAAGACACGATATATCACCGATGTAAATTCTGGGTGACAATTTGTCGAGAATTCCGACCAGTTCGTAAAGGCATTACGTGTCATGTAGCACACTGATATCATACGGAACTATCCTTAAATAACGATATATTGATATATGAATACATATAAATATAGTTATCAAATTAATTTAATTATGTTTTTTATATTAAACATCAATCTACAAAGTTTTACATTACCGACAATAACAAAGTATACTTATTAAATACAATAGCAAAAGGAAATACGAATCATTTTGTCAGGGACACAAATATTACTTAATGATTTTTCAAAGATATTTTCATTTGGAATTAAATTTTTCTTAAGCCAATATTATGTTGAAAATATGTAGTTGTATATTTCACTTACGTTAACCTGTTCGAATTTATCAATTATATTCGTGCGATGAAAATAAAATTCTCAACTTGATACAAACTGATTTTCATACAAGTACGTAAACTAGACAGTTTACTATATGTTTGTATTGCATATGTTTATATATGCAGTCAAGTGTATGTTTGTATTGCTCTATCATTTCGTGTTCAATGAAATAACTTGAATATATTTCGGTAACAGAGGTATCCAAACAGCGTGTGGTTTACGATGTTCAAAGCTCGGATGTTACTACTACGGGGTATGATCAATGAAGCGGTGGAATCTTATCAAACAGCGACTCGAACTGAGAATCTATGGCCGCAACTAAAACATCTATGTTACTGGGAAATGATATGGGCATATGGGTCAGTTGAGACAGTTTTACTAACTAAAACTACAAACTAACTTTAAATCTATATAAAAGTATGAACGAAATTATAACGTTAATATAATGATATTATATATATAATGATAATATAATGATAATTTCGTTCATACTTTTATATAGATTCAAAGTCATATCGAACATAATATGAACTTTAGTTAGAAATCATTAAACTAAATTTATTATTATGAATGGATTTTTTATTAATTTTTTTTTGGTTTTAATGAATTTAAATGTTATTAGAATAATGATGGAATGGTCACAAGCCGCGTGGTATGCGAGTAGACTTGGCGTTGAGAGTAAGTGGTCCCGCACTATCTACATGTATACGGAGGCCGCCATGCACTTAGAGCGGGGAGACGGACTCACTACTGACCAAAGGAGACACTGTGAACTACTACTCAGGTAACGAGCAGGCTACATATTACTCAATCACTTTACACCACAAGCAATTATCATACACGTTGCTACGAAATCATTAATTACTGTGAAGAAAAACTTTAACTTTAAAATTTTAACTCAAAAATCTACTAAGGTGTACATTTTTCTTTTCTTTGTTTTACTCCTATTATTTTTGTCTATATTGGTGTGTAATAAAGAGTATATAAATGAATAAATAAATAATAAGGCGAAATTAATTGTGAGATATATTGATCAAAATTATATGAATTTTCTTTGTTTCTGATAATTTTCAGAATAATTACTATAAAAGTTTTCTACCTGTATACTATATGTATCTATATGCCAAAAGGCATGCCAGTCTCGTAATTGATGCCGACTGTGAACAATTACAGGAACGTCAATCAAAAGTAAAAGGTCACTTTGCAGTGATACTAATAAAATGTTTATGAGCAACAGAGCGTAACATATTATTGTATACCTTAGAATCATATGTCTGCACGATATAATTGAACATTTTTACACGGATGACGAGAACTTTTTTTTGTTTCAATCAAATAACTCACTATAAATATATTTTCTATTACAATTTTTTCTCTTTAAAATATTTTATATATAATGTTTCGGATAATTTACGATAAAATGCGATACCATTTAAGTTCTGTCAAAGAACGTCAGATAAGCTCCCGAGTTAAAAATGTGAAGAAATAGTTGCATTGGAATTTCTCTTGTCCCTTGTTATCATGAATTTTATTAGTAAAACATTTTAAAAGGCTCTTGATAAAAGACTTTTATAACGAACCTCTTCTATTATTTCACAGTTTTATAACAGATTCCTCTTATAAACCTTTTTTTAATATCCTTAGCTGTGATAAACTCTCAAGTTTATTTAAGATAAAATAATCAAGAATCTTATAGACTTTATATTAAGTTCTCATATTTATTCATTCAATCTACCTTCAAGATTCATTAATATAATGACATGATAAATATTACATGCATATCAAACGTAAATGTATTAAAGTTGTTTTATAAATAAAACTAAAGTAAATTCGATATTAATTCATAAAATCAATATTTTTCATCCATGTAACTATAGACATTCGTAGTACGGAACTTTTCGGTATATTTATTCATCATTATAAACATACTAGCTTTCCGCGCAGCTTCGCCCGCGTGGATTTCGGTTATATTGCGTTTTCAAGAGAACCTTTCAAAAGTCTGGGATAAAAAGTATCCTGTGTCCTTTCTCAAGGTCAACTCCATTTGTACCAAATTTCATTAAAAGCAATTCAGTGATTTAGGCGTGAAAGCGTAACAGACAGACAGAGTTACTTTCGCATTTAAAATATTAGTAGGGATTCGTGTATCTGAATTAAAATACATCACATCGCATCATATATATATGTACGCTATAGACATGACCCTATGTAAGAAGCCGTGTATATATATATGTATATGTATGTATGTAAAGTGCTTATCACGTACGTAGGAAGGCCACAAGCTACAAACAAAGACTGATGGGTCGCTCTCTGCCAATGGAGAAGTTCGTCATTCGTCGTTGTGAGAGATGGCTTCGTCGCGGATACCTTACCCTGCCCGGCGTCGAGTTGATGTGTTTGTGGAACATGTTTCCATCACTCGCCGCCGAGCCCCACTACGCCGACAGAATGCTGAAAGTGAGATCCAATTAACTGTTACATATACACATACATACATCGCTATCTCCATACATACTTCACACACACTGATAAATCACCTTTGTAATCCATGAATTGACTTATAGGGATTATTCTATTGGGATTATGAAGAGCTATTGTTATTAAAGTTTATATATACAATTTTATAGTCCCGAAGAAATCGTTAATGGATTAATAAAACTTAGTAATTGAAATATCTCATTTTACTTTTGATGCGATTTCATTTTTATACATTACTATCAAAATATATTAATATGTTCAATTTCTTTCTAGTCTTACATGAAATTCTAATATATGTAATATGTACTATATTAGTATTTTCGTAATCACATAAAAAATTACACAATTATTTTTGAACTATAAGTATTATATGTGAACAGCACATCGAAAAATTATGCGACGAAGTTGAATCTACCCTGAGAAGCAGACGAAGCGACCCTAATAATGACACACCAAGCTATGATAAGGAGGACCTCGCTGTGGTCAAATATTTGAACGGCAGTCTATTGGCCGCTATGTCCTTACCGAGACTCGCTTTGAGACATCTCGAAATGGTGCTAACGTAAGTTTATATAACATACTAGTTCTTGCCCGCGACTTTATCTGTGTTAGTTTCAGAATTAGTATGTATGTTCGAACTCTATTCCTCCTTAAAGATGTAGATAAGAAGATATTGGATTTGATCAATTTTTTTTCTTTTTCAATTTGATGAAAATTATCCTATGGCCTTCTCCTTGTTCTAAGCTATCCCTCAAACAATTTTCAGCTAAACTCGTACAGCCGTTCTTGAGTTATAAATAGCGTAACTATCACGACTTACTAATGTATATATATATATATATATATATATATATATATATATATATATATATATATATATATATATATATATATATATCAAATCTTAACGTATTCGTATATCTTAGGATGAAAGACGAGATTAAGGACGGCACACATCTAGTGCCTTTCACGACCGTCGAGATAGCCATGTGCCACTACGCGCTCGGAGACTCATACCAGGCCGTGGATTTGTTACACGATGCGAGGTACAATATTAACATATAAAAAAATACATTATATTATGTACATATATTACAGTATAATATATTAAACATTTATTACAGGAAAAAATACGCTGGTTACTTACTAGAAGCTAGACTACAGTTCCGCATACATTCGAAATTAGAGTTGATAAACGCTGGTGCAGCGAATACTGTTGTGGCTGGAACTACCGCTAGTGCTGTACCTATGGCGAGTGTTAACGCGCTCGCATCTCGACCATCGACATCGACATCGACATCTAGCAGAGCCATCACTACGTCCAGAGAAATAGTTGAGAACAGATCAGGAAGGATTACGACTAGGGAAGTCTTGAATACGATAGCTGATTCAAGAGCGATAATGGCAGCTAGTTCGCATGTTAGGAACGAACCTGAAGAGGTGGCTCTCCAGCGATCGAATCCAGGGCATGAGCGAACACGAGCGAACACGAGCGCGAACACGAGCGCGAACTCGAACACGAACAGATGACGGCGTCGTTCGCGGGGCTGGAAGATAACCCTGCGAATTGCTAGATTTTTCATGTGCCCCTCCTTCTACCCTGGACACGGTGTGGAGAGATATGATCTATAAGGAGAGGACGGTCTAGTAGTTTGTTTTGTTATTATATATTTATTTAAATACATTATTATCATTGTAATAGACTGATACTTGACATTACTATGTGCTTGCTGGTCTTCTTCTTGGCAATTTCCCAGATTTAGTCAGGGTCTGCCTTACTTGTAAATAGTTTTTTCGAACGGACACCTTCCTGACAACAATCCTATTTGGGAATGCATTAATCACCACGCTAGCTCAAAACGAGTTGGTGATTTCAAACTTATAATTATGAGGTTTCCTTAAGTGTTTTGCTTCACCGCCTGTCAGTGGTGTCTAAATACTATCAGAAAGTACATAACTCTGAAAAATCACATTGGTATTTGCCAGGATCGAACCCGCGCCCTCATGTGTGAGAGGCACCTTTAACCACTAGGCCACCACTGACTACTATATGGTTGCTGATTTATATAAATATAATATATAATAATAGTGTTAGTATTCAGTCAGTTTATAGTAATGTCAAGTTTGGCCTCCGCAGTCTAATACAATGCACTGTCTTGCCTATGTCTTCTTAGACATTAATTTGTACAAACGTCCCAGTAGCTGTTGTTGTAAAGAAATTTGATAATATATAAATTATGTAAAAATAAAACTACCTAAATGCGAACTTATTTAAATTATAATAAAAAAAATGTGATAATAATATGGACAATGGTTACGATGTATTATAAAATGGTTACAGGATTTCTGTATGTGTTTGTAAAATATGAAATATATTATAAATGATATTAACCTCGTTTCATTATAACATAAAGGAAAAACATTTTAATTAAAAATCATACCTCGAGGCTGGAATTATCGAAATGATATAATGAACAATGAAATGCATAAAGAGTTCAATAGTCAAAGATATCAGTTACAGTGTTGTATTAACGATAAAGATTTTATTAATTAATATTTATATGTTTTATTCTTTTTATACTTCATTTAATTAAAATATGAATGTACTTATTATTTGCAGCTGTTACGTGAAAGTCGAGATGATAAGTACAAAAAGTGTATTAAAATAAAAGTGTTCGATGGTTAATATCTCACAGTTAATGGAATGAAATATAAAAATAATATTAATTGGAAGAAAAGTTCATTCGTATAAAAAGTAATTGGGGTGTTCACTATTTGGTTACTTATAATGGCTACGTTCTGTGTAGGAGTTTCTCGTAGATTCGTAGACTCACAAAATAATTTCAGTTCGTAGCACCGTGTCAAAGGTGCTAGATAAGTATTCCATAATAAATAGATATAAAATTTAATTTGTATGAATGGACCGTCATAAATGACATTTTTTGTATGTGGCAACCCTGAACATAATAAAATATCAATTTTAAATTTCACCCTATTCATAGAAAGTGGGAGCTATTTATATATGAATAAAATAAGGTTTGACATTATAAAGTATTCCACAATTCTAGAGTGAATGAAGCCATAGCATTGAAAAGAAAGGTTATTTCATAGACGCTCTGCGCTAGGGTTGTACTTCGTGGTGTTTGAACAAAATAATAACATATGACATAATCAAGACTGATTAAGCATTTAGTAATTGTAGTCAAAAATGATGTTTAGACCCAGTTTCACCAAACTCTGTGAAATCTAAACGAGACATTTATTATTGAACCTTTAAAAATATAATTGTCTGACAAAATATTTACGTCCCGCGATGATAAATTTACAATGCATTATTGATTGTCATGTTATATGACCGATTATCAAATTACTCGTTTTCATTATAAGACGACCAAATTGAAGTGATCACGTTTAACACGCCATGTTACCTACGATGCACCACCTTTTCCCTTGATCGTATATATATCCCTCAATGTCACTTCACCTCATAATAATTTTTTATCAGTCGTTGATTGCATAGATTTGGTACTAAAACAACCATCTTTTCAGTTTACAAGGTGTAACTTGTCAAAATTGTGTTGTGTTTTTATTGACATAAATAGTGTTCAAGTTATACATATGTATATTTGCAATTTCACATATTTCGTTACTATGGCTTTAAAAATCAGGTGTGGCAACTGGCAATTGACGTTTGAATTTTGACGATACAACAGATTAACACTCCGTAAGCTATTCGACGGACCTCTAGAGCAGGGATTAGTATTATTCTATTGTTAAGACATTTATACAGACATTAGTGAGTGGTGGGACTCGGTACATCTAACAGACCATCAAACGCCTTGACAAGATGTTATTTATTCAACATTGATTGATAAAACATTTGATGTTTAATAAAGAATAAAAAATAATTTAATTCAATTCTGGACCAAGTGTAAAATTTTTATTTTTTTTTCGAAATAATCTATGGAATGTCTTCTATGTATATTAAAAGAAACGAAATATTTTGTTATTCCCCACAAATCCGTTAAGGCATTATATTAATGATTACTGCCACGGCAAAATTGAATTATTCTACTGAAAAAAAAACAGGTGAATTCTTCTATGATACAGAAATAGTTATATAATAATGTGTCAGTGCGGCTATAGTACTATTTGAACAATTTATCAACAAAAAATAAATACTATCAGATAAAATTACATGACAGATTCAACCTACATGTGGCGTATTGAAGGAGATTCAAAACATACCTACCATATAACCAACAACTTGACGACGTTAAAAATATTATTATATTGGCTTCTGATTCTAGAAACGATATTTTAGTTTCTTTCAAATGTTTCATGTTTGTTATTGCAAGAAACATATCAATAATTTAAAGTCAGATTTTTTACGTCTTCGTATGATATAACAAATTCAAGAAATAACCGAGATTATCTCGTTACTTTTTGCAGATTTCGAAGCAGAATAAATTTGACGTATAGAAAATAGTGTCTGTACCTACGGATAATTATTATCATACAATGACTGAATTATATTTTGTAACAAATTTACTTTGTTTTTTCTGAATAATATATCAAGAAAATTTACGCTGTGATAACGATTGATAACATATATACTTACGAGACGGTAAATGGAACGACAGTCAATTTTAGGTACTCGTACCTTTACAAAAACAATTATGTCCCTCTAAGACTCAGCTCAAAGGCTTAATAGAAAAAATAATTTGAAAGATATTTTTATTATGCCATTAAATAATTCTGTTCCTAGATCAAAACAAAGAAGTGTGCCTTGACCTTAAAAGTTATGGATGATGACGTCTTTTACCTTTCTATCATATAAAAACTCAATTCCTAAATCAATATCTACAAGGTGAAAACATAGTTTCACATATGGTAGATAAAGACACCCACAGAAGTTTCATTCAAGACGACCAGATATTGAGAACCAAGAATATTGAAGCATTATTGTCCAAAATTATCAAAACGCCCAAAGGTGTGATCAAATCGTATTTATAGAAACAAACTCTCCAGACTTTGATGTAGTTGATGTTGTAAGTTGCCGTCTAGCAACAAGCCAGATCTTGATAACAGACCTAGTATTCAGAGTTTGTGAAACTGTATTCAATGATTGAAACTTTTAATCTTATCCTTGTAAAAGTTCTTTTTTTATTTAAAAAGAAACTTTATCCTTAAAATTTAGAGATAATACTTTTTTTGTGAATGGTGAGACGCCACGGCCGAAAGCTTTTATGGTCTCGACAAAAAAAAATGGAATTATCATTTATACATGTATACACACACATATAATATATATAGGTTTCTAACAAATTCATTATAAAAGTATAGTTGTCACTTCGGGTACGTTCGGGAATTTAAAGGTTCGAATTAAAAGTTTGTTTCCTAAATGTATTATATAGTAAACTAACGTATATGGTATAAAGTAGCATACAACATAAGTCAAATAGTCCAACACTATTTGATAACACCTACATATGAATGGAAAAATATACTTTTAAACCAACATAATAAACCATTCATAAAGTGCACAAATCGCCGGAGGGATCTGACCAGAACTGAACGGGGATGATAAACATAAGTCTGTCTAGAGGGTGACGGGGGGTCACAAGATACCGGCTGAAATACAAACGAAACCGCCTCATCGAGATGGGGCACATTGAAATAACTCTAGAACTTAAAACAAATATAATATAACATTATACATACGTATCATTCATGATAAATTAACATTTATATTAAATGAATTTATATATCAAAATTCATACATGGAAACAAAAGGGTATTAAAATTATTTAAATGATACATATTTTCGAAAATTTCGACGAAGCTGAACAAAAAAACGAGAATCCTTATTAGTAAATGATATTGTGTAATCAGCTTAACGCCACCCAACCCTCGTTCATTATAGAATTCACCGTAACCGTAGTTATTTTAGTGATTTTATTACGTAACTATAAATTCAATATAACATTCACATTTAAAATAATAAATAACGCTATGTTATTGAAAAAGTTAAGATAATGAAATATTTTATTTTATACTTCGGCAAGTTTAAGTTAATTTCGTAATTTTCTATTAATTAAATTTAAATCTATTTCTGATTTGCCTTGCAGCTAAATCTCAACTCATTAACTCTATTATTACAGCATCGACATCGACATATTATAAATTATAATATTTTAAACGAAACTAAATTTGAAGTACATTTTATAATCTCTTAATACAGAGCTACAGAAGTGGCCACTTTTTAACATAATGGTTATGAATGACTTTATTCAGTTAAAGGGTTCGATTCCTTTTAAAACAATTGCTACGATCTGTCCCACCGACACAGAACAACATAACAAAAAACTTAGATTTTGAATAAAATTAACAAACCTAAATATAAATCTAAATAATATAATAACATATTATATATTTACAATAACCGAATATAATAACTAGGTACCTAAACTTTGAAGAAACTCTGTCATTGACCTCTCCTAATTCAGTTTGGTTTCGTTCTTTTTCGT